AATTACTTGCGCAGTTCATGGTTATGATCATTTTAGATTCATTTTGAGGCTAAGTTACTTGATTTTCGATGGATACGTGCATTATGATATCAACAGTTAGTAGTCTAATAAGATTAAGAGAAAAGAAACAACATTGTTCAGAGTGAACAGTGAACCAATTAATGACGCATTTCTAATGCATTTGCAAATTCAACAAAATGTTTACTTTCAACAATATTATTATCATTGTTGATAATAACATACATTAATGTGTGAATGTTATCAGTGAAATGATTTACTATGTTTATGATGTGACCGTCCTAAAAAAACGAAAAGCTCTGATAATTGAATAAAAAACGACAATCGAGTCATGCAAATAACAAACTTTTTATTTTATCACTGTTTTGTTTCAGTTCATATGACGTGCGTTTAAAATGTATTTTGAAGCGTTTTTCGTTTCATTCAATTAGTTTTCAGTGTGCATGAGCGAAGGAAAAGAAAATAGTGGAAAAAATAGTTCATGGATTAGTTTTAAATAATTGCTTAATGACGTTCGCGTGATTTGATTATATTCAATGAGTGATCACTGGCACTGATTAAGTGAGTAAACAACGTCGATGATCCTTTCATGAATGATGTCAGAGTGGTGAAGCATCGATTCGATATTTAGTTAATAACATCAGACCGACATTCTTTGCTTCTCAGTCTTCCTCTCGCAATTCATCAGTTCTTATCAGTCGTCATCATCATACATCACCTCATGTTATCTTTCTCGCTCTGTTTCCTCTCATCACTTGCTATAACTCTTATTTGTAATCTCTCGTTCGACTTTTCCTTTTCTAGATTTATTTCAGTTTCAATCATCATTCATCATGCATTAGCATTTCTAATAGCTGCTGATATTCTTATTCTATGTTCAACGTTTTGAAACTATTCGAAATCATTTATTATTGACTGACTGATGTTTCTTTAAAGATATTCATATTGTGCGATTGTGATAGCTCTCCATCTGGAAATCTTTCTATTTCATCCCATCTTGTTGTTTGATTCTCAAACTAATCGTTCACAGTTGTTTTTGTAACTTATAATTTGTATTAGTATTACTTGTAATGATTAAGCATTGTGATGGCATGCAGTTTAGTGTCGGACGAAATAGCTAAGGCAGGAACGTGAAAGGTTTATGAAAATCATAGGTTATGTGTATTTGGATTGTAGGTGTTGTGAGATGGACGAAGCTGAAAAGAGACTGATAGGTATTAGCTGAGATAAATAAGCAAGCCATTAGTGTGTTGTATTGCGTTCAGCTCGGCTGTAATCGACTGACGAGTGATAGAGAGGGACTAGATTCGATGAATAGCTGGTAACAGCTAGCAATAGCAGGTTTGGCCAAGCGCAGACGATGTCGGGCTGAGCAGATCGACAGACAATTGCGTGTCGCAGTTGTGAGAGATGAAGCAGACAGAGAGAGATTTATTGATGAATGAATGGATTTTGTGTGGTGATAATAACGAGTTTTTAGCTCGAGATTAGGTATTGTGCATTTTTATGCATCCATTAAACTGTCAATTGCTTGTATATGTGCGTTCATAGCGATCATTCAGTGGAATGAATTAATAGAGAGAGGTGTGGATGTATGAAGAGGAAAGGCTCGAATAGATCTGCGATCGATTTGGTGGGGTTGATGACGCCTGTACTACTCGATCGAGCAATTTCTAGTTGAATGTTTTTTTCGGTTTTGATTGAATGCAATGGTGGCTGGTGTATGCTTTGCCATTCAACAGATTGATGATAGAAAGACGATTGAGAAAGGAGCCTAGCGGAAATGAATGATGAGGCTTACAGCAAACAACCAACAACACCTAGTAAGAAACATTGGTGTTATTTATTATAATGGTAGTATTGACAATGAATATATAGCTAGAATGTATTTACAAATCATAAGCGTGTCTGTCTCTTCTGTTGCTTGTTCTTAGTGAGCATGAGCAGTGGGGTAGGATATGTTGTATTCTTAGTTGAGTGAGTAAAAGTTTTAATTAGTTCCTTTATGATACTAGTAAATATAATGGGTGTTTTTTAATAGGAGAGAGAACGTATAATAAAGAGATAGAGGGTAACATAAGATGGGTACTATTAATAGCAAATATCTTCGATTGGAGGGTGCGAGTGAGTGAGTTTAGTAAGATTTGAAGCGAATGATAAAAGGTCGATAGATAGCTGGATAAACGAGCACTGAGCAGAGTGATGTCATTTTGTATTTTGATGGGTTTTGTTCGCAATGCATTCGATGATATGATATGATATGATATATATATATA